GCTCAGTTTTTATTTTATCTTTTGTTTACTTCATAAGTAAGTAAAAACTGTTTATAAGTATGTCATTTGAAATTTTTATCCTAAGTATATTAAATTGTAAAACTTGCTTACTGATTTTATAGTACATTTTGTGTTCAGAATTGTGTTAATTAAAATGTTAAAATTAAACAACACTGTAAAAATTATTATATGTTATATAGCACACACTATAATTATAACCACATAATATCTATATGTAGTTATGCTTATTATGCACATTTTTTCTTACTATGGAAGTGGTGATAAATGATATCTACATAAACAAATATAAATATAGACAGTCTATCAAGTTAGGATATCTGTTATCTGTTTATATTCTTAAATTTAATATTATATTGTACTTAGTATTACAAACATTTTCTTGTACTTATTCTAAATAATTTATTTCACTCAACAAAAAAACTATTTATTTATTAAGTCTAAAAACTTATGCTTATAATTGATCTATTTTTGTAGATATTAAAAAAAAAGTAGCATTTTTATATTTTTTTTTTATTTTTTACTTTACATTTATCAATTTTTACTTTTTATCTTATATGTATATAATTGGTTATACTTTATTATGTATGCGTAATTAGTACTAATAAATTAGTTTTAACAATATTTTAATGTATTAAGAACTGAAAGTCATAAAATGCTGTATAAATATATGGACAATATTATTGTACAATATACTAAATACCATATCATTTTCAGATTGAAACACAAAAATAAGGATTAAAAGATGAAAACAAAGATCATGTTTTTGTAAAGAATAATTGCATAATATAATTTTTTCAAAATAACTGTTTGAAATGTTGATAAGGTTATTTAAATAAAAAGTTTTAACAGTCAAAAATCACAAATTTTTATAGCACATGATTTTTTTTACTATAAATTTAAGCATATAACTGTATATTGAATATACAAATACATACATGTTATCTATGGTGTAATTATTAGCTTAGATCGGAAGTATTCTTTTAATAAACAAAAAATAAAAATACATTAAATACTAACTATTTATAAATATATATACAATAGAATCCACTTAATGGGGACACATAGGGTGGTGATCTATCTGTCCCCATTATTTAACTGTCTCAGTTAATCAAATTTAAAAAAAGAAAAATTAAAAACTATTAACACGTTCACAGCCACAGCATAATTTGGAAAGTTGGTTAAAATGCATATACATAATAATTTAATTTAAAAAACTACTGATTCAGATATGCCTATTAAATTATTTAACTCATGAACACTAATATTTTGAGGCTGAGCTTTTATTTTATCTAGTGCAAAAATTTTTTCAATCTAATCAACATTAAATCTTTACAAGACATTATTGCTACTTGTTAGCACAAACTAGGATTAATTCACAGATCCAAAACATTAATAAAGGAATTTTGTACGCAGGTTAATCGACTCAATTTTCTTTATGAAATATGTGATAGTAGGAGACAAAAAAAAATGATTAATTTAAGTAAAAGAGATAAATGTTATTATTTATAACATAGGATTATTACATAAAATGTGATAAAGACATAGAAATTAGATAGTTACAGTTTCGATAAGAAATTAGTTATGTATAGACTATTATATGTCCCTTATAACTGATGGTTTGTCTTCAATAAACAAATTAATATGGCCTAAAATAAATACATTTATTCGAGACTTTGACAATTTGTCCCCATTAAGTAGATTTTACTGTATTTTTAGAAAAATGTTGTATGGTAGTGCTATATAAACAAATCGTAACTTTAGAAAATAAAAGGATAGTTAATTCAAATTTCAAATACCTATTTTTATCTTTCAATGGCACTGAGTTTCATACTATAATAAATATGTTATGAAATAATCCTGTGTATATCAAAGAAAAAAATATAAATATTGAGCATATATTATTGTCTAAAAAAAATATAATAATGAAGCGTATAAAAGGAAAGTAAAATAATATAAAAAAAAAACAATGCTTGACATTGCAATTTCTATTAGTACCTACCTACCTATCCATTATGATTTGATATGTATAAAGTAAACCATATAGTATCATCTGTGGTTTTTACGGTTAAATAAACATTGAATCTAAGGCATACTGAACAATTTCCTTTTTTTAACTTATTTATTCCATTTTAACTATAGACTTTAGTAATTGAGTACTAAGCAATTAGATAGAATATATTATCATGGAAACTAAAAAGGTAAATATTACATATAATAATTTATTTAATTTTATTACATTTTTTGAAACTGAATTAAAATATCTGTAATGTCATATATAATTATAAGTTCTTTTTTATGTAAATTAAGCATCAATGAAAATAATTTTAAGCTAACAAATTACCACTAATCATACATAAAATTATAAATTACTTTTTTAAATTTTGCAACAGGTTTTGTTTTTTATTATTTTAATTATATCAATAACAAAAAGTTTTGGGGAAAATGATTATACACCAACCCAAAGTATTGAAGATACAGAAGATGAACCGATTTATAGCAATCATAAATACTTTGATGAGGATTCAATGAGTTCAATACAAAAATGTAATATATCTACAGTTACAATAATATTCTAATTAATTATACATTAATATATCGATTGCGTTCTGATGTCAGTTAGTATATTAAGAATCGTTCAACAACATGGTCAATACTATTTCAATTCAATAGACTTTTTTAATTATATATTTATACACTGTACTTAAGTATAATCATACCTAAGAGCAATTTATATTTATTAGAAATTATTATATATAATTATATAATGAAGTAAGGATTATAAAAAAACTTACACAGGCAACACGTTTATAAAAAAAAATCTTATCAATTGATCTAAAGGAAAATATTCAAAATTTTTTAATAAATGAATATCAAAGAATGTTAAATAGTATGATTAAGTATCATTTTAGCATTTTATAGAAAACATTTTAATTAAAACAATGATAATTTAATTGTAAACATTTATCTATATCAAAAAATAAAAGTGGTCTTGTGGTGATACACTAGGATTGCCATTCATCCCGATTTTGTTGAACATTACCGGTTTTCACTATACAGTCCCGATATTTTTCAACTCCTGGCCAGGACATGGATATGTACCAGTTTCTTAAAATTAGTTCCAAATTGATGTCATGCATAAATAACTAAAATTAATTAAGTGTCAGAAATTTCAGAGATAACCGAGGACGATAATTTAGTATTTCATAGTGACATAGTGTATATAATTTATAGAATTTATAGAATTGTCAGTCTTCAGTCTTATTTCAAACGTTCTATGTATTGTGAACTTGTATTGTTTCTGCATTTAAATTTAATAACTTATTGTAACTATTGTGTTGTAATTACCAATTTTTATTTTTATGCTATTATACCTAATTTACATCACATACATTATGGCTCAAAAAAAAAAAAAATTCTGACGAATGTGTTTGGAAAGTGTTTTCTAAAGTGACATAGTGTCTCAGCTAGTAATTTTTTATAAATGGCAACCCTATGATATACGCATATAGTATAAATTAGAAATGTGTCCCCGAGGATCTATTAAGGTAAAATATAAATGCTTAATATAAATACATAGGTATATAAAACTGGATATGCAGTATTTTTTAAACACAATACTACATAATAGTTTGTATCAAAACTTAATATAAGTATGAACCTAATACCTTATACTTATATAGAATGTAAAAATAATTCAACATAATTAAATTAGATTGATTATTTAAATAAGTATTAATCACTTTATTATTAAAAACTAAATTTTATAATTATAAATTGAATTTTTATAATTTTTTTTTTCACCCAACTCTAATAATTCTTATTCACACAGTATATCATACACTAATATACTCATACCAATATAAGCGATTACTTAATGAACATGTTTTATTATTCTATTAGATGAACCAGGTAGAGTTCAAATAAAAGTCTATAGAGGACCAGATATAATTGAAAATGATGAATCATATGCAGCACATGGATTTTGGGTAAAACAACCATCAGAAGATTATTAATCAAGACTTATTATTTTATATATTATTAGCTTTAGTGTCAATAAAGTATTTACTTATTTAAACATTTTTATTTTATATTGATATTTTTAAATATTTATAATTTGTGAAAATTATTAAAGTAAAGAGTTCATGATTAAATTACTAAATGTAAGTAAAATTGTCATTACATCAAAAATAGTGGTAAATAATACACATATCAATTTTTATATATTTGAGTTAATGTATTTATATTAGATTTATAATTAAAAAGATTTGTCGAACGTATACTTACAGTAAACTCGAAACTGAGAGTTTATAATATAGTGTCTTTGTTATTATATTGAATCGAGTAACTAATGTGTTTAAAACTTGACCACGCATTTTCGCATGATGGAAGCAAAAGTATAATATGTGCTTAGTCGAGTTTTGGTCTTCATTCTGGTTGTTTTCGTCCCCACGGAACAACAATATGATTAGTTTTTCAACATAATGCTACTCAGTACTCCGCGTACCAGCCACGGTTTACTGTCTAGTGTCTACAGAATTCAGCTTCCACTTTCCAGAATCCGAACTCTAAAGACAACGAATTACTACGACCGCAATAAAAAATAAATAATGAAACACTAAACATTTTATCAAAACAAAAACAAGATATTGCGCCCGCGCGAAAATCCACCTGGAATAATAAACACTTTATTGTTGATAATTTAACAATAATAATTTTTCATATTATTTATGTTCATAGACATGTTATAATAAATAAAAATGTATAATATATTTTTTTATTTATAAATAAATATATATATCATAAAAATCTTAAGTAAAAAATAAATAATATAATATTCTTATTTCTTATGGAAACATTTTGATCCATGATATTCATAGAGTTTATCATGTAATATAGTAATAGGTATGATGTTCATGCATCATATTATCATGTACAAAAAGTACCAATTTATTATTTGTAAACTTGTAGTGCAGTATATTATAACGATTAGTGATCAGTGATCACCATTTTAATCTATAATCAAAGTGATCACTGATCATACTGTGGTGATATAAAAATGATAATAGCAATATGATAGGCAACAATTAATTATCTTATATTACTCTATGGCCAGTGCCCAGTACTCTACTGTTCTGTAGACTGTAGTATACTTTTGTACTACTATAGACTGTAGAGTGATAAACGTGTAAAATAGAGATTAGAGTCATCGCCACCCAAATATGAGTATAGATTAACAAATCCAATTTTGTTAAGACGCGTATTGCTTACTAAATACCAATGAGTATTGAGTAAATAGCAGATTACAATCCACAGAATAGACTACAATTAAATCTGAATATATAAAACTACAGTGGAATAATTAACACTAAGCAATAAATAATATTTTTATACTCTCATTTAGACTTTGCGCTTACATTGACGATTTTAAAATCATTTTATTCATAAACCTAGGATCATTTAAATAATCCACTTGCATCAGTTAATGCACTTGTAGATATTATACTTGTATTTTTGTTTATGATTGATTATGGCGTTGTGTGTGGCTGTAGTTAGCAAAGAGGTAAGCAAATAATAAATGATATATTACAAATTTTGTGTTCTTTAAGATTACCTAATTGATTTCTTTGTTCGGGGTACATAAGTTTCAATAAAGAATTAAATGTTGTATTTATCATGATTACATAGCATAGCATAGTTTATATAACATTGATATAAAAAATATGTTTCATTTCAGAACGCGCCAAAATATGTAACTTCGCTAAACCCAGAAGACGAACTACAAATTCAATATGAAATACATTCATCAATTGATTTTGTTGAAGAAAAATTGAAAACTGGAAAAAAGGATATGCGAGATTTATATTTAGGACTATTGTACTCAACAGAAGATCATAAAGTGTATCCTTTACTATTTAAAATTTAATAAGGAATAATTAGTTCTGTATAAGTATTATACCCAATATATTTATTATATGGATTGAGAAATAAAATGTTTGCGTAATTGATAAGAACAAACAGTATCCAAGCTTATACAATAAAAAAAAAAAAAAATGTAATTCTAAGTCACTTTTTTGAAGAATATAGTTTATTCAAACATTTCTAATAATAAATCAATTTTAGTGATTTTTTTTAACAATTATTAATCAGTTATGGATATGTGACGAATACTAAAGTAAAATTTTTTGTTGTGATAGATTCTAGCAATTTGTTACTAAGAGATAATGAAATACGTTTTGTAAGTTAATAAAAGTTTTCTGGATTATTTTATATTTTATTTTATAAAATTATTACAAAATGTTGATACAATATTTTCAATACTATAAATATGTTATTTTCAGATGTTCCGAAAATTACATACAGCTTATACTGATTTAATGTGTAATCCGTTTTACATTCCTGGAGATTATATTACATCTGAGTTAGTATTTATAAAATATTAAGTAATTCAAAAACTTTTATGATTACCACTGTTCTAGAGACTACTTCACTTTAATATCCAAACTTACAATAATAAATTACAATGCAATAACTTATAAAAAAAATTTAATTTTTACTTAATAAAATATCAAAATTATATTCTACTCACTGCAAAATATAATAAAAAACTTAAAACAAAAGTAAAAGTAAATAATTATGAAAAATATCATTATTTTTTTTAAATTCTGTACTGTAATGATTTGAATTTATATATGAATGTGATATTTTCAAAAATGTTAATATTGTATTTACTTAGATACTTATTAAATGAGTATTTTCTATTGAATAAATCATCATGTTTAATATATAATACAATAATAAATTTTCATTTATTTAATCAAAAACTGAAATTAGAAACTTGTATTTAAAATATTAAATTAGTGAAAAAATAGAAATAATTTAAAATTTTTTTTTTTTTCAGGAATTTCAACAAAGTTGCCAGAGGTATATTAACTGGAAACTCATAAGTAGATTAATAAGAATCATTTTAATTAATTTATAATTTATTTCTAATAATTAATATATATTTTGTTTGATACCTTAGAATAAATAAAAAAATACTTTAAACTGGAAAAATGTATAAATATTTATTTCATAATACAACATTATTTTTATTTTTTATATTATAGTTATCTATTTATCATAATTGTTTTATGGTTATATACATATATTTCATAAAAAAATTAATTTAAAAATAAAATATATTAGCTTCCAAATCTCTTTAATTTATTTACAACACTAATAACCTAAGACTTAATATAATTATTGTTTCAAAAAAAAAAAAAAAAAAACATGAAGTACATTTATTTGATTTTTCTTTTTTGTAAAAAAATAAATTTTCTATTATGCTGTAATTCTAAAATGAATTATAGTAAGTACTTGAAAACATTACCAAATTTTTATATTATCATTTTATATTCATGGTTTAATTTCTAATAATTTTTTGCTATTGTTTATTAATATCACAAGCCTATTCATGATGTTTTACGTTAAGTCAGTAATAAATTATATACATTTATTTTTAAATATCAATACATCCTAAAATAAAGCAGAACGGTTACCTACTATCCCTCTTTCTTATTTTTTTGATTTCTAAAATCTTAATCTGAATAACCATTTATTTATTTATATATTTATTTTGTGCCATGCAACTTTTAGAATGTTAGATACATTTATTATGAAACATTAAGATATTAAAATAACAGTAATAAGATATGCAAAACAGTATTATATCAGAGAGCCTTTATACAGACATTTAAATATAGGTACTTAGGTGAAAAAATTAATTAAAATGTACAAAAATGTTAAAAGTATGAAATAAGAAATAAATAAAAAATATTATTATATAAATGTGTTTTTTCTGTAATTATATATATGTATATAATAATTCTTGTGCTGAATCAATGTAAACATTATTATTTAAAAAAAAAAGTAAATGTTTTTATCTATTTAATTTAAATTTTGAACCTTGTGGCTCCAGTACTCAGAACCACCTAGACCACCCTATATTTACGGCACTTTGCCTATAGTCTTAAAATTTATCTATTTATTTATACAAGCCTATGACTTCTCTTAAATTAATTTACTTCTTTCCTCTATATTTTAACTCTATGCCCTATAGTTTACTTTACATATCCTGACAATGTATAGTGTATAGTGTATACTTCACGAATGACAGCTGACAAATGACAATTACTTGTTAATTGTTATCAATCCTCAGTTGGAACTTGGCCAATCCTAGGATAATCGTTTATCACTAATGCTAAACTCGATTATTATCATTTATACAATTTTCATTTTTCAATATTATTTGTAGATAGTAGATACTACTAGATACGAAATATTATTAATATTATAAATTATGAATTATTATGATTATATTTTAAATTTATAAATGCTGATCAATTAAGCACTAAGCAGTATCTGTTTAACATTAATATACAATGTAGCATCGAACTATTTACTTAATTAATGCACACTTAAGTATAAAATTTATCACTTATAGTGATGTGCCAGGAACTTCATGATTTGAGTCTTCTAGATCAAAGGAAACAACACAATGGACCAAAATCAAGATGACATTAGGACTAATAAATATCTGATTCACAGAGATGATTGTAATAGATCTAAACCTGGGTTGGATGAACCAGATGAGCTCCCTAGAGATTTGAGTATTTCCTACTGGGATCTGATTGTGTTGATTTTAGCTATTGTTAGCCATATTATTGATGTTTGCATTGATTTCAATGTCGCCTATCAGTATTACATATATGAAAAACTTATTTATTTTGTGTTGACAATTATTTTTATAGCAGTTCCTTCCATAATAAATACTTATATGAGTTTAAAAATGTTAGAACATCTAATGAGATAAAAAATAAACAATTTTATTGATACTTGATTTTGTTTTTAGTTATTCCATTCAAGAAGATATGCTAAGAACTACTCAAAAGTTACTTACAAATCGATTATTATTACCATTCCTTTTAATACTACAAATGGCTCCTGTTTTAAGGTATGTAATTATAAATATAACAATTATATGATTCAATGTTGATTTAAAACATAACTTATTAATTATATCTAATTATATTATATTAATTACTTAAGTTAACTATAATATATAAAAGTATATCTTTACAATAAATTATAATACTATTAATTTTAAGTATTTTTACACTTTGTAATAGTTGTTTGTTTATAGATATTATGATGTATTAAAATATGCGTTAAAGTCTCGTAGAGCTGCTCTTAAAGGAAATAATGATGATCAAAAGAAGTACTATGCTTTAATGGCTAAAGAGGACTCATATGTGTCATTGTTGCGTATCTTTGAATGTTTTTTAGAAGCTGTCCCTCAACAAATATTGCAAATATGTATTGTTCTGGTCGAGAAAAAGCAGGGTTCTACTTTTCAAAGTAATGTATTTATTTATGACTTTAATTTTAGATATTAGATAGTTACTGATATTGTTGATAACATTTTTAAATACAATGCCATATTAAATTTCTAAAATATTAGAAGTTTTAACAAAGTCTTAATCTAAATCATTTAAAAAAAAATTATTTATATTTTTAGATTTTTAATAATTATTGTAATAACTACTATTCTTGTTGATAGTTATTGAAACCCAGAATTCTGTTTAATATCCTATTCAAGTTTATTCATATAAAAATAAAAATTTTGTATAGTTTTGGGTTTATGTATTATTGTTGTTAGTTGCAACTCATAATCCAAGTAATTATATAGATATATTATACAATTACATTGATCATAGTTGTATATTTTTTTTTAATTAAAATTTTCATCTAAACTAAATTATTTAACTTTAATTTAAATTTAGACTAACTTATTTAATTATTGTGTAACTTCTTTATATTTGTTGTCTTTAATTGAAATATTTCAGTGCAAATTTAATATTTTAAATATTTGAATGCATATACAAATAAATTAATTGAAAATATTAGTATAAATTTATAGTAGATAGTAGATTTACTATGTATTATTGATTTTAGTTGTTCATCAATCTGCATCAATTGCGAGTTCAACTATAGGTATTGCTTGGGCTATGGCTTCATACAATAAAAATGTAAGAATTGCTTATGAAAACCGAAAAAACATAGGCAATACAGGAACAGTATTACAATTTTTATGGCACATAATGATTACAGGTATATTCATTATATATATTTAATTTAAAAAAGTATATCATAGAAATGATTTTAAGATTAGTTTTCAACATATATTCTAATTTAAATGATTTAAAATATTACAATATTATTAATACGTATATTATGTTTAACATTTTATTAAAATTATACTTTTTCATCTAAAACATGTTTTTATTTTTACAGTGTCTCGAATTTTGTCTATTAGTTTAGCCGCTATAGTATGGCCACAGTCAACTGGAATTTTTTGTATGGTCCATTGGCTATTTATGACATTGTGGATTTTCAAGTATCAAAATGTAACATTTTGTATTCCATCCAACCGATTTGAAGAAAGGAGAATCATGAGATTTTTTTTTTCAACAATACTTGGTCTTGTGTACATATTTACTTATTTATCACCCAGTGAAGGCCAAGGGAATTCAAAAAATCGTTACTTAGGGTATTATGGAGTTTTTTTAGTAGAAAATATAGTAGCAGTCACAATTTGGGCTAATACTGGTACTGATCAAAACCAATGGTATTACTATCTTCTGATGATAGGATCAATAGCACCTTTTTTTGTTGGAATTTTGTTTATGACAATATATTACAAATTTTTTCATCCTCATACCACTTACAAAGATAATAATGTTGAACCACATATAAATACCAATAATGTGAACACGTCTATTTCAGATATTCTAGGATAAAATCATATTTAAATTAAATATCTGATAATTAATAAATTAATTTATGATATTTTAATATATTGTATTATATTAAATTATTAAAAGAGTTTTAAATGTTTACATTGTTTAATTATATACATTTATAATAGCCATTAGGATAGCAAATTTTTAGCAAATTTCACAATGGTGATCTAGAGCCAATAGGTTTTTGAATTACCACCATGATGTAATGTTTATCTGTAAACAAAAAATGGTTATGTATGTAATTATTTTGTATTGTTTGTAATTTTTAAGATGATTATATTTTATAAATTTAAATTAAATTGACATTAAGACTAAAATTATTTTTATAATAATTATATTTTTAAATACGTTTTTTATAACTAAATTATTTTAATAAATTAATTACAAAACCTAAGAATTATTATTTTTTTCTTTAAACCATTTATTTAGTAAAAATAGATAATGAAATAATAATGTTTTATAAATAGTGGGTAAAAAATAAGCATTTAGAATGTATACCTGAGTCTTGTAGGAACTAGAGACAGCCTAAGAAAAAAATTCAGATTAAATCATTTATTAAATTTGCGATACTGAGTGTTTTGTATAGTATTACACAAATTAAAGTATATTATTTAACTACAATCCAGGTCAGTAGTAATTATTTCAAACGTCGTTCCCAAGTCATGAGCCGCGGTATGGTACTGGGCCGTAAACCATATACCATTAACGTTACTAACGTCTATAATTTAAAAAAATTTTACTCAATATTTTTTTACACAATTAACGTTACCAAAGTTTAAATACAGTTTTATCTTATGTAGTTGGTTTATTATTAATAGATATTAATTACCTATTATTTATCATTTTTATCATTCACAGTGTGAAGTGTATGTGAGTTGTGCTAAGATTGCATTAAGAAACTTGATGAGCTTTTTAACAACCTATCTGTGTGAATGAGCTTTATCTAATTAAATTTTTTTTTAAATAAATAAATATAGGAATAAACTGAATTTTGAGAGTCATTTAAGGCTAAACTATACAGTTTTAAACTTTATCATGGGGGACAAGCAATGTCAAAAATCACATTAAACTGTTTAACTTGTAATTGAGTTAAATAATTTTTTTTTTTTTGAATAAATAATCGTTTTTTTAACTTTTCTATTTTTGATAACTAGCGTATATATATTTAAAAAAAAAATAAATAAAGGCATACATTTGTAGACATGTGTGTAGCTAGGATTTTAATCAGGGGGGGGAGCAGTTGATAAATTTTTTTTTTGCTTTTTCAATTTTATAGTAATACTTTATACGTTTAGTTTAAGAAATATAATTTAGTTTCAAGCGCAGAGGAGGAAATTGCCCTCCCCCCTCCCACACACACACACACACAGCCCCATCAACGCTAAGCCCACGTTTATAGATGTGCTATTAGTGGGCCTCAAAGATTTTTTTACAAAATTGGTTTAACTAAAATAGTTTTTAACTAAAAAGGTTAGGAATCGCTGGACTAGACCACCAAGATTTTCCTGGTATGGAATGGTGTCCCTGGCCTGCACTTAATAACAATTTACCTGGTATTATTATGATCTCGTTGTGTTTGGTACGTAACCGCAAGTACGTTAATTTATCGGTCGGGTCGCTTTTTTTAATTACTACCATTGATGTTGCGATTAGCTGCTGCACTAATCCGGCGTATCGAACGGATATTGAATTTTCCAGATTAGACTTTACCGGGATGCCTGCAAAATGTAATATTATGTACCTTTATAAATGTTTTTCGGACTTCCGGATATGTGTCAACAACGGTCATAAGTACCAGCGCTGTTTATTATTACAAAGCCGACGACACCGTCACTGGTTTGAATTCTCTTCAGAGTTTCTTCAATTTGAGTAGCCATTTCGTTTTAAACTATTCTATATACTTGCAGCTATGTATATCTAATTTATGAATTTAAATAATGTAGCTTGAGGTTTATTTTGGTTAACAATAATTAGAACAAGGTTAAGTTGTTGAATTCAATCTTTGGTATTACAATATCGAATTAGTTTTGTTTGAAAACATAAAAATATTTTTAATCACGAACAGTACTTGAATGGACGAAGGTAAACGATATGCAGTCAATTCAGATACGCATCTACATAGTAATATTATACACTAATTACGCCACTACAACTATGTACGTAGATACATAACGCAGCGATTAAGTTTCACAATAACTATTATATTAGGTATTTATTTAAAAACGAATTTTTTTTTTTTTGGCCAGAATAATATTCGTATTAATTTTAATAATTATATGACCAACAATATCACACATTCACACTACCAGCTAGCCACGGATGTATGTAATTCGATAAACCTATTTGTAATATATTTATTATTATTGATACAATGACATGGATAACATTATTTATCGGCTACCATCTGTTGACAGTTACGAGCTCGACTAAAATTTGTTTTAAAGGTGTAATCTTGTTGAAATTAGGTATATGGTTAGTATTTAATACTTTAGTAATTAATAGTTATCCTACAGCTTAGTAATTCATTTACAACGATATGCTATAGCTATTATAATCTTAAGGTTAAAATATATATTTTAAAAAATATCAACTTAATTTTTAATACTGCTAAAAAAATATAACTTATAAGTGTTTATATAAATATATAAGTAAGTAGACTTCTCATGACGCGAAATGAGGCTTCGAATCACAGAACCCAGTTATTATAATATATACGATATACCTATATTAAATGTATATCTTACATACTCTATGCTCTTAACTGTGAAAATAATACATACTTAGTTGATAAATATATAAAACATTTTATGATTTTATTTCATGTCCATCGACCATCAGTATAAAGGAATATTAATACATATTTAGTTTAACTTATTGAATAATAATTTAGAATTACATAGGTGAGTGGTTGTGGATTTTAATTTTAAACTTATATGAAAATCAAATTAGAAAATAGGTACTCTGCAAGTAGTTAAGCCTATGTGAAATCTAAGATTGATAGTTCCCTATATAGTTTTTTATTTTAAATTAATTTATTTTTATAGAATCGATCAATTAATAAATTCAAAATTATCGATGTAATGGCATTAAGCAGTGGTACATTCACTGTGTAACACTTTTTATACATTTAATTGTACAAGAGATATTTAGTTAGTAGTTTGTACACCTAGTGTAAATCCAATATTTTATACTGTTTTATATGTACCTACTACCATTGATAATAGAATCAATGCTACTACCTATCTGTATGTCGATTTGCCTAATAAATATCCCCAGAAAAAATAACCCCGTGAAAAAATAACCCTATAATAATATATTATATAATAAATAAAAAATATTCACCATAAATGTATAATACAATATAATATAATAATAATTTAAAACAAATATTTAGTCAAAATTTTCAGTCACGGTAAATAATAATATTTAAAAAATATATATAATATTAATATCTATTTTATAATCGTTTTCTTAAATTAAAGGATATTTTTTTCAAAAACATGTCTACTTCAATTTCGTTTGAATTTAACCGTTCACACAAGGTTTTTAATCTCTTTTGAGCGGTTTTTGATTTAGAACATTTAGTTTTGGACTCTCCTACATTTTGCAAAGCAAGTTTTGCACGGTCAGCCGACATTTCATTTTTTATTTTATTGATCAATGTCCAAATCGATGGATGTTTTACTCCGACTAAATGATTAAATCTATTGTTCCATGACTCGCAAACATTATTGGTACGTTGATTATTTTCCCTAGTTGTTTGGTGAACATTCCAAGTTTCCGGAGGAAATATTGCTGGAAAACGTCGAACGGTTAAACTTGAAACATTTTTCGAGTTTAACCGTTCAAAGTACATACCTTCTATTTTTAAATCTGTTAGATTTTCAGGTACTATTGGAAAACTCTGAATCCTTTAATTTTGAATTGTTTTTTTATAGATTTTTCTTTCGGAAGTTCTTCAAGTATACTTTCCGAAAGACCTGTCACAGCTTCTGAAAACAACTGTGCTGGCGTAGACTTCGTCATTTTAGCACGTGTTTTAATTTGAATTTGAATTTTGGCGGCATCAATTTCATTTTGACACGACAAATGGTTATGTTCATGATCAATTTTAATTAAACGTTTTTTATCTAGAGAAGTTTTTAAAATACACGGAAACTTGTGGCTATTTTTTTTTTGCAACATTTCCACCTTATGAAATTTATACACTCTTTGTGTACAACATACATATACTTTTTGAATGTCAACTTTTCTTTGCCCTTCTGGCTCTCAAAAATATCTAGAATATCCATAACAGTATAACACTATTCAAAACAAAGCACAGAGAAATATATAATATACGAAAGCCATCTGTAGTACCGAATACTGAGAAATGAACACACACAGGACTTGACAAATTTTATAATCAATATAATCTAATCTAGTAGCACTGCCATAATAATATAATAAATATAAATTACTGTAGAGTGTAGATAGTAAATATTATCTATATTTTTTGAACAATAGTGAAATAAGACTCGATCATATAATATTAACTGATATAACGGGTTTTTTTTTCCGTGGTTATTTTTTCACGGGGTTATTTTTTCGGGGTCTAAATTTCCGGAGTTATTTTTTCCGGGGTTATTTTTTTCGCGGTACCCTGTATGTCTGTGTATGTATAGAAATTAGAAATTTGAGTTACGAATGTTAATTGCATTGTTGCATATTATTATTATTTCAATATTATCAATGTTTTCTTAAGTATTTTTAAATAACATAAGTCATTACCTATACAATAAGTATATAAATATATAATATTTTAAGATTCTGAAAGTGAATTCAACATTTTAAATACCTATCTTATAAATATTATCTGCCTAACTTGCCTAGTGGTACTAGACATTAGTATTCGGTTACTTATTTAAAATTTGACTCGTAAAATAAAGATCAGAGGTGAAACCGCACTGTAGACAGCCTATAGAGTGTCTACCAAGTCCTAACGAGCATTCCATTTTAACGAAACAAGACGAGAACGGTTTGCACCTCAATTATTTGTTTTTGCACATCGCGTAAATGAGAATATTATAACTTAAGATATTATCTTCAATCGTAGTGGAAAAATGATGGTAATTACGCAGCTAATTTTTTCATACAAGATCACTACAATATTGAATTGATAAACCATATTCTTGAAAAAGATACCTCTATATGATTTATATTTTATACTATAATATTACAGTTCTACTGCAGGAATATGTTGAAAGACCAGTTTATATTGTCCTTAATTATTTCCTTCTTGTTACCTATATCAGATTATCTAGGTATTAAATTATTTCGATTAGATATTAATACATATTTAAACAATTATCGCACGTAAAAATGTAGTATTCGCTAATTTGACGCGCACCAAGATGTCGAATGCCCTTAATTGTTATACGCTGCAATTGACGGTAGGCAGGGCCCATTTATGCATGGACATTATGGGTATTTGTCCGGTATATCGTCTGCTAAGATCTATGTATCTTTTACGGTGATATAGTTTCCCGTATAGACATGATCCGAGATTAAAAGTTTCTCATCAGAACATTTTGTTTTGATGCAAGCCTCAAATAGCTCAAATATACTGTCACAAATATTGACTGTTGATCGAACAGGGCCGTATAATAATATGACCACATGTTTCCTAATTCCCGCCAAAAGTTGGCATTGCATTGATAATAGTGTACACAAAAAAGAAACTGTTAAATTGATTAAGGTTACTACAGATTACCGACTATAGTGGGAACTGCAAGTCTAGACTAGATATCAAATGGCTATTATAAATTATGATTGCCGAACAATGATCTGTCATTAGTCGTCACTTTTTTAGGTGTTATAGAATTCCGGTCTAAAGTTTAAAACAAGTTCAAATTTGAGTACTGGTGGTTTATTTAAATTGATTGCACTGTAAACATTTTTGACTTGTCGAATCTTAGTACAAAAAATTTAACATAGTGCTAAACAAAATCATGCCTAGAAACGTAGAGATCAAAGCACGCGTCGAAGACTTGGAGATTGTCAGACAGCGCATTTTGGCATTAAAGTCGAATGCTATCTATGACGTCCGACCAGATTCTATGGTCATAAAGCAAGAAGATTCATTTTTCAATTTGCCGACCGGTAAATGTGGCAAATTGAAACTCAGAAAAATGGTAAAAATAGTTTTTAATAACTGGTGACAATACACATAAAAGTCTTGGGGTTTTTCTATTGGTGTTAAATAACTAAAAATAGTAAAATAATTAATTATCTTATCCTAGATTAAAATGTTTTATTTTTATGATGATTTCTAAATAATAAATTGCTCAAATAGGAATAATGAAAGCCATTTACCTAAGCAACAAACAATATCAAAACAGTCAGTTTTTTCCCCTGCTCTCTAAAAATCAAAAATATACGATACAGAGACAGAATAACAGTTACAACATAAATCAAGACAGTGATAGCTTAATTGAATAAAAATTATTATTGTATTTGTATAAATATTACATAACTTAGTGTATTTGTTATGTTCACAGGGTCAAGTTCAAGAGTTAATTTATTATGACCGGGAAGAAAGCTCAGGACCAAAGTTAAGTTCTTATAGTAAATGTGAAGTTAACGAAAATATAGAAAAAGTACTTACAAATGCTTTAGGTAGGTGGGGAATTGTAAAAAAGGAGAGAAAATTAATAATGGTTGGCCAAACAAGAGTGCATTTTGATAGTGTTGATGGTCTTGGGGATTTTGTAGAATTAGAAGTAAGTTTTTGAATATGATACTAAGAAATAAATCTATTGATTAATTATTCTTCATTTAGGTAGTTTTAAATGATAGCCAAACAGTTGAAGATGGACAATCAATTGCAAAAGACCTGATGTCTCATATGGGAATTGAAGAAAAAGACTTAATATCTGTATCATATGTTAACATGCTTATCAAAAATAAATAAAAAAGATTTCTACGATGCCCAAAAGTCTGAAGATTTATCAGTTTTATTACTACTACCAAATGAAATTGTGTGATCACTTTCTTGAAATTTTTTACCGTTTGAAAAAGTATTCGCTTCATTTGAACTATCTTTCTGTATAGATGATTGCTTATGTGGTGAATCAATTATTTCTGTATGTTTAAACAATTGTAAATCTAAATTATCATTATTCTGAACATTGTTTTTAGTCTCAAGAAGCGTGTTTTTTATATCTGATTCAATTTGCAATTTATTTTCTTTAGATGATTGATTAGATATATTAGATATATTTGTTGAAACTTCAGTATAATTAGATTTATTAATTGAAGACTCAATTCTTGAACTAGGTTTATTTACAGATGATTCTATGCAAGCATTTTGTTTAATACTGGATGGCAATATTTTTATTGGCGAAACATTTGTAGAACTCTTGTAATCCTGAAATTTAGTATTTCGTAAGATTTCAGGGCTTGTATCATTTTCAGATTGTGAATGGTTTATAGATCGCCTAATTGATCGATGATACCCAATCTTGTTAGCAAGTTCTTTTAAATTAACTTTATTACGACTATGTTTCAATGCGTCTGAGTATGAGTCATCTGAAAAATTTGAATAAATTTCGTTTTGTGACTTTTTAGTATCTTTAATTATATTAAAATTTATGTTGTGACGAGAACGATTTATTTGGAAAGTTTTTAAGTTTTGTTCTACTTTTGCTGTATTAATTTCTAAAGTCTTCAGTCTTGATTCAGCTTCTTGTATTATATCATCTTCTGTTAAATTATCTGACTCTAACATAGTTGTTGAATAATCTGTAGTTGTTGAAGAAATGTTTTGGGCGATAAAATTATTTTTTTTACTAGAATTGTCAACAAAGCATAGTTTTTTTCTTACATTTCTATTTTCATAATCTATTTTAGTTAATGGTATTTGATGAGTTTTTTCAATTTGTTTTGCTAAATTTGATGCTCTGTATGATAATTCTTCAATCCTTTGTCGCTGGACTTTTATAAAATCACGTAATTCGTCATTGTCTTTTTGTAATTTTTTCACCATTTCTTGATCCTGTAACGGATTATTATTATATAAAAAAAAATAGTCTTAAAAATATTTAAATACATTTTTAACTAACCGACAGAGGGTCAATCTTTTGAAGATTATAATTTAATTTTTTTGTACACGTCTGCTCAGCTTTTTTGTATCCTTCAAGTTCATCAAGCTTAGATTTTATTTCCATTAATTGTTTTGCCAAATCAAAATTTTGTTCTTGCAGCAGTTTAACTTGACTACATTCACTAATTTTGGTTTCATTTATGTAATTTAGTGATTCACTTTTTAACCTGAAAGCATCCATTATATAAACACACATTTTATTATTTTACTATTTGAATTACCGGTTTTTGGTGGGGCATAGTAAAAATAAATTGCTAAAACATTTCAAAAAATAAATAGTTATAATAATGGAACCTTGATGTTTAGTGTTTAGAAATAACTTAAAATTGAAAGTAATTTTATTTTTAATATATTTATCCAGAACACTGGAAATATTTCATAATTAAATTTTCAATTAATTTGATACTAATGCATCAGAAGATACACTAAAAGTTTTGAACATTCAAGTGTGCGCGTGGTAGGTAACATAGGTCGCTACATAATTACATAAAAGACTAATATTTCTATAAGCTTTTTTAAATTTTTCTCATTAAATGGCTTATTTGCACATTAACACTTGCGTTTAAAACAAAATCATGCATATCAATAAAATTGAACTTCAAGTGCAACGTCTAAAGAAATCATTTCACATTTTAATAATAAATGAAAAAAGGTGCAAATATCATTAGTATCAATAATACTAACATTTTTTCATGCTTCAAGATCTCCATTTCTTTTAATCTTAATTCATATTTTTGATTTTCAATAAATTGTAGATTTTTATTATACTCTTCTTCTGACTTCCTTAATTTTTCTTGCATAGACTTTTCTTTCTCCTGTTACATGAGGTTATGTTTTAATTTATTAATTTCATTAAGATAAAACAGTTGGCATATAGTTTATTAAATTAGTAATATATCTAATAATATGATAAATTAATTCAATGAATTTTAATTTAGAAGCCTATATTTTAATTAACAATTAATAAATGTCATCTATTTCTACCACTTTTAAAAACATTAAGGTTAATTGAAAATTGGAGAATAAAATGACAATAATCTTTTATAGTATTATTAAAAAACAATTCTATAGCAACTATCTATTAATATATAAGCTACTTATATCTAATAATAATGTAAGAATTAGGCCTTATTAATGAAAAATATTTTATTAATCAAAATAATTAATCTAAAGATTTTGAATATTTACATTCAAAATTTAATGTTTTTTAGTCCATGAATCCTTTCAAAGTACAAAATACAGTGGATTTCGCTTAATATGGCCACCGGTTAATATGGGCATCCGCTTATTGTGGGCAAACATGTCTGGTCCCAATACAAATGTATATTAACAATGTCAAATAAAACCGTGTAATATGGACACTCGATTCGGTTTATGTGGGCAATTTTTTTTATCATAGCGTTAGAATATACACATAAGTATTTAAAAACGATTAATTTAATCGGGTTCCGTCGTATCTATAAGATTGTGTTTATCGAAAGTAATAAAAATCATTACCATTCAAATAAACAAATTTCGCCAAAGAGAGGCGAAAAAGTGCATTGATTTCTTGCAGAAGTTCTTCATGCAAGAGGGAAACGAAAATAGTCCGTCTGATAAACTTGAAGCGTGTGCCTATTTTGTCAACCAGATCCATACTAAACAGCTTAGACAACGAAAAATTACAACGTTTTGTATACCTTCTACATCCAAAGATTAATTTTATTTAATATATTATATGTATTTAGTTTTATTTATATATTTAGTGATTATTTAAAATTTTTTTCAATTATATGATAATACAAATATATTTTTTTATTATAATTTTTTTTTTTTTTTACTAATTTCGGTTTTTATGGGCAACCGCTTAATGTGGGCAAACAGGGCTGGTCCCAACGTGCCCACATTAAGCGGAATTCACTGTATAATCACACACCCCCCCCCCCCAAAAAAAAAAAAAAAAGAAAAAAGAAAATATACATATAATTAAATAAATGTGGGCAAGACATTATTATTGTTATCTTAAAAACGCCATCAAAACAAATTTATTTCTAAGTGGACCCCCTGTTAAGAATCTATGATTTAAACAAAGACCTTAATTAAAATCATACATTAATTTTAATATATTTTTAAGATATAAGATATGATAATATAAACCACTTATTTTTAATTTTTAATAAAACATTATATAAAATCAAAATTAAACAAAAATAATTATCTAGATAATTAATCTAATGTAATAGATATTAATATTTTTTATAAACATAACAAAAAAGATTTAAATTTAATGTCACTTTTAAATTAAAATTCCTCACTTACTTCAAATACATTTATTAATTGATAAAGTTGCTGTTGTTCTAAGCGGAGCTGTTGTGTGGCATATTCTATGTCTTCTTTTTGAAATATAAATTTAGTATTACGAGAATGAAAATGTGCAGTAAGTATTTGTTCTACATCAGCAACTTTATCAACCATTTCTTTGTTTTGTCTTTCTAGTTTTTTTAATTGTTCTTTGTATATAGTAGCTTCTTGGGTATTATAATTTTTATGATACCTGTAAATTAAAATTGATAAAAGTGATGCATAATAATAATTTTTTAAATATTTTTACTTTTTTAATAACATTTTCAAAGTATTTTTCTGTTCTTCGTTTAAATTGAATGAGCACAGAATATCCTCAATACTTACAAACCAATTGTTTAATCTATGTTCATAAGTATTATTCTCTATGTTATTAGATTTGTTTATTTCTTCACAATTTTGATCGATTTGAACTTCATTATATTTACTGTAGTAAAATAATTAATGATTAATATTGAGATAAGCAGTTGATATTTTACTTATTATAAATGTGAATATAATTTAACTATTTGGTCAAAACAAAGAAGATTTACATATTTAATTATTAATAAAGCTTTTCCTATCATAAATTATCAATAAATATTCATTTACTAATGTCATTAAATTAAATTGTTTTTATAAATATTATCAGAAAAATTAATAGTACACAGTAATCTAGAAAATTTTAAAAATATTATAAATTATATTAAAATAATTGGTTTTATTAAAGTAGGTAGTTAGATACCTAAGACTATTTTTTATATTAGTCACAGATTTGAATAAGCAAGCTAATAATGAATGAACTTGTTTTTCATTAAAATAGTATTGGCATGTCAATTTGCTGATATCTGAATTTGGTTGTAGGCCTAATGCTTCTAAAATATCTTGAACATCATTTAATTGAAAACTAGGCTTGGTGACTGCAATTTTTTCAGTACTATCGCCTAACTGATTTACATAAGAAGAGAATTCACGTAAATTTCCCAATAACGGTACCTAGAAAAAATGATACCTTTAGATGAGAAGTAATGCAATCATATTAATATGTGTAAATACTGAATATTATATAAGTAAAAATGTAAACCTACTTCTGTAGCGAATACAGACAATGTGAATAAATTTTCTTGATTTATCAAAAAATCAGCAACTAAGAGGTTGATTGCCTGAATCTTTGGGGAGTTAACATTTCTTTGGTTAATGTTCCACATAGGATTATCTTCTAGTGCAGAGATCATCTGTTCTCTTATGTGCGCTCGTAGCTTGTTAATAATCCCTTTTTCTTCAAACCTTTAAAGGCATGGAAAAAAAATAATATGAAAACCGATCACATCAGTAGAAATTCAATGACAATTGACAAAATATGGCATACCATGAGTTAAGTTTACTTTGAATGTCTGCATTTTCAGCCTTGGAGTTATGAGAAGCTGACAAATCGTTTTTCCACTTATTAACGTCCATAGTGTGGTAAAGTAAATTATAAAAGAATAATAATAACAGCGACACTAAAACTTGTAAATTAATTTATAAATTTAATTTTAACGTTTTGATTAGAATAGCATGTAGTTACATCGTAAGAAACAAATATACTCTAAAGTATATAATCATTATAATCATAAAGAATAAAGATCTATAAAAGTCTATGCTATATACTATAATAGTATAAGATAATTAGAAAAACTAGAAAAAGTACACAAAAACATATTTGTATTTAGTAACCATTGATAATTATTATCTATGTTAGTAACGAAGCGCAGCTACCTGATAAACTGATAAGATGATGCTAATACCAGAGTTGGTAAATATAAACCCAAATTTCCTATCTTAAAACATTATCATGTTTATCATGTTCTTATTATAATTTGTATTACATTCTATAATTTTATTTTCTATTATTGAAATTATTTTATAACTATTTCTGTTAAATTTACTATATACCATATAGATTTCTAACAATTAATAATGTCCCACGTCCAGTTCGTTCATTTTCTGGAAAGTTACGGGTTAAATTTTTAACTTCGCTCAAATGGCAACACTGAATTTTAAATTAATCCCTTCCATTTCTTTATCATCTAATATCTATAATCTATGACAGAATCTGGATTCAAGACAACGGACAACGGACGAACGGACTCAAAATCTAAATGTGGGTACTGGGCATGTGCAATTCACGCATATGTAGCATTGAATTCTGATCGGATTTAAAATTGTAACTGGTTTCTGTTCTAGGTTCTAGTGTATAGTCCTATATAGTTCACGGTTTCACATCAGAAGTGTTAATAATTGATTCAATCAAAAAATGGACAATCCAATAATAATGAACAAATATTCCATTGAAAGGGTAGGATAAGTTGTTTTTTCAATTTATAATATTTAATAATGATGTTGATAAATTTATTATATTATTAAACAACATACATAATTTAATTTCAGACTTTAGGAAATGAAATTAAACCATATAACTACGATGAATTTGTAAAGGTAAATACCTTATTTAATTATAAAATCTTATTTGAATAAATTATTTTTTTTTTAACTTGATAAAACTTATTCTATTTATGTTTTAGAATTTCAAAATAAATATAATTAATCGCTCTGAAAATGACTTGGAGTTTGATCTTGTTGGCATTGATGTAGCTGTGGCTAATAGTCTTAGAAGAGTTATTTTATCTGAGGTAATGTAGTCATAAATATTAACATATCATCATTATCTATATGGCTCTTGTTTTTTTTGGTTATTACTTTTCAGCCTTTTTGTATCCTAGTACTATGTACAAGTTTTGAAAGACTTGTTAAGAACTTATTAATTATTATATAATGAAGTGCATTTATTAAATGATTAATAAAATCAAAATTAAATTATTGTTTTTTGTTTTTGTTTATACTATTAGATGATAACTAGTTAAAAATTTTCTTTACTCAATCAATTTTAATGTTACATGAAGTACTTGCATATAACTTACATATAATTTTCTTAAAATATCTACTTTAAAAAGTTATTGTTTTTAAGTTTTAAATAACTATTGGTTAAATGTATATTATATTATATTTTCCATGAATCAACTATTGATCTTATTCTAACCCCCAATTTCTCTTTTTAGGTACCTAGTATGGCAATTGAAAAGGTACATATATATCAAAACACATCTTATATACTTGATGAAATACTTGCTCATCGATTGGGATTAATTCCATTGAAAGCAGATCCTAGGCAGTTCAAAATGAAAGAAGATGGTATTATTTTGATCTTTTTTTATTTTATTTTTAAATTATAACTTGTTGTACTATATTTTAGAGATAGACTTTTTTTTTTCAGAAAATTCTGAACCAAGTGAACACGACAGTCTAGTTTATGAAATGAAAATAAAATGTACAAAAAAGGATTTAGATGCATTAGCTCACAAACAATTTATTAGTTTTCCCGGTAATAATGTTTTTTTTTTTTATTATGATTGTACATATTCTTTTTTTTTTGTGACTTGAATTCTAGTTTTCAAACAATTTTAGTGTACTCAAAACACATAAAATGGTTGCCATTGGGTAATCAAAAAGATATTTTCACGGAAAAAGATGTTGGAATAATTAGTGATGATATTCTTATTTCAAAGTTAAGACCCGGACAGGAAATTGAACTTAAAATGTTTGCAGTTAAAGGGTTACCTAAAGACCATGCTAAATTTCAAAGTGTTTGTAAGTGTTTATTGAGTTATTAGTTATATAATAGGAACATTTTAAAATAAGTTTTTATTTTTAATTTATTTAGATTTCTATGCAGTTTTTACTAATAATTATTTTTGTAATTAACATAATGTAAATTATTACTAAAGGTTGACATTATTTTTCAAATATATAATATAAATAATTATTAAAAATATATTTATTGTAATCTTGATGTTTAGGTACAGCATGGTATAGAATGATGCCAGATATTAAATTACTTGATGAAATAAAAGGAAATGATGCACTATTACTACAATCATGCTTTCCTAAGGGTGTCATTGGATTAAAGAGCATTAAAGGTATGTATTTATAAAAACTAAATGTAAATTTAATTTTAAATTTTTCTATTGGTTGTCTTTAGGCGTCCTTAATGCATTTGTAGAAGATTCTCGAAAAGATAATAGTTCCAGGAATGTATTTAGATACAAACAATTTGATAATAAAATTTTACTTTCTAAAATTCAGGACCATTTTATATGTAAGTTTTCTAGTATTATTTTAAGTCTTTTGAATTTTAAATATTTGTTTATTTGTATTTAGGAATGTGTTAGGTTTGGTGGCACACCTGGTAAATTTGTATTTTCACTCCCTCTTCCTAATCACCAAAAAATATATGGGCAATTTTATTATTTTTTTTATCAGTCAACATTAAAAAAAAACTGATTCCATTTATATTATATCACAAATATATAAATTGAATAAAAATTTATAAAAATTGAGAAGCTTTAATAAATAGTGAGATAAAACAAAAAAGCCAAATTAAAATACTATTTATGTTGTAAATCATTTAAGCCCTAGTAAATTTTAAGTCTCTAGTTACTAAATAGTTACAAATTTTTAATTATATTAAAAAAGCACTTTCAATAACTAATTTAACATAAAAAATTATATTTTTTCATAATTTTTAGTTATTTGCTAATATTTTGTAAAGTATTTTATTCATAACTGCTAACTAAAAATTAATCTTTATGTTAAAATCAAAACATTTTTTTGTCATAAAAGATCTAAAATATCAGTTTAGGAAATATATAGGAAGAATTTAAAACATATATATACTTAAATTTCAAACTTTTAAAGATAATTAAGTAGACAACTGTATTTATTAATTAATATTAGTAATATTTATTGAATTTTAAAATTTACATTGATCTTGGTCCTCCCTTAATTTTTTATATACAATATTAAATCATTTATACACAATTAGTTTTGAGTAATTACATATATTTCATGTAAGTTTTAATCTATAACTCTATTTGCACATAAATTTCATGATTAATAGATTAGAAATTATGTCACTTTTTATGGATAATTTAATCTTCATTATTATGTATTATTTATTGATTATTTTTGAAAGCAAAATTTACAAATATTTTTTTTATTTTATTTATTTTAATTGTATGATATTTTTATGAGAATATTTTGTTAATTTTTATAATTGTTATTATTGGAGACAATCAAATAACTAACTTTAAAAATTATCACACTTATTTAAATAAGTTTAACGGATAACTGTGTACTCTGTAAGTATGTAAAAATATAATAAATCTTAAATTTTCCATAGTAAAATATCACAAAATTAATTTGTTACATAAAAAGTTATGTTAATAAAGCTTTCATTGTATTTAATAAACTTTCAGTCAATATATCTTTAATTACATTTTTAAACAAGAACCATTGTAATATTTCAATTTCATTTAACATATCATCATGTTTAGTTATTTCAGTTTTTGGTAAAATGACATATAAATATTGTTATGTACTATTATTTTACTAAATATTTTTTCAAATGTAGATAGGTACCAGTTAAAATAAAAAGCTCAAATTTTCAAACTTTATTAACTATAATAATTTTAACACACATAATTACAATCTGAAAATGTCATGAATAAAAGTTATAGTTTAATATTTGTGAATGCAGCTATTTGAAATTTTATGATATTATATGGACAAATAAGTAATGATAAAAATCTGCATTTGTGTAACTACAGGATGGCAAAGCATAGAACTGCCCCAAGCCCTAGACTTGGAAGAATTTTTGACCTTTGTAAATACAATTTGTATTTATAAAAAATTAAAATTTGTCTTAAAATGCACTGTGTACTGTGTTATAGAGACTAAAAAAAATGCAAAACTTATCATATTTTACACTAGAGAATGGAGCAAGCTAAGCTTTTAAATTATTTATTGAAATAAATTTAGAAGAAAAAAAAATTAAATTAAAAAGTTATATTAAACTTTTTTTATCAGTATAAGTGTATGACTTTACTGTAAGATGTAGTACACACGGTAATGTAAAATTGCATAAATTAAATAAATTGATAAAAAAACTTGTTTTTTTTTTTTTTTTTTTTTTTTTAATTTTAAAATTGAAGAATTTCAGTCGAATTAATAGATAGGAGTTAACACTTACTTGATACCCAGGGACTTCAATTTATAGCTATGCCTCTGAAGATCAATAAAACAAATCAATTAATAATATATATGTTATATATTTTGTCAAAATTATTGATGCCATTAATAAAATTTTTATTAACATTATAGTTATCATTTTTTTTTTAATTACTTAAATAAAATTGTTAAAAGTTAAAAAAATAAATTAAAATTTGAACTCGAATTCTACCTAAAAATATAGTCATATTTTCGTATTTAAAGATTTTATTTAACCTAACTAATAGAGGTGACAAATTTTTTTAATATTACACTAATAATTTTTTATAAATAATTGTTAATGTTTTTAAAATAATAGTGTTAATATTAGATACCAATTATTTAAATGTAATTACTATTTTTAAATTGTGATCATGGACTAATATTATTCTTCATTTTCAGTTACAATTGAATCAGTTGGAGCAATGGATCCAAGCATAATTTTCTTAGAAGCCCTTAATATTTTAATTAGAAAAGTTAATAGTGCTTCTGAATCAGCATTAAATCAAACTGAAATCTAATTTTTTGTTTTTAATGTTATTATTTAATATAATATATAATGTAAAAATAACATTTCATATTAAATAAAACATTTTTTTTTTTACAAAGATAGAATCATTGTTTTTTATGGCACTATAGATTGAATGAACTTGAATTAAGCAATTTTAGCTGTATTGATATATTATATATACTTAACCTGAAGTCTTTTAAATAAACTTAGTAAATTCCTAAAATGGAACACTAAAAGTTTTGTTGGTGATAAATCGTATGTGAATTTATACATTTTTTTTAAGCTATTTACTCTATTTAAAGATTTATTTTCTTAAAATACTTAAAATATATTTCTATATTGTTTGTGTATTGTATACATGGTAATGTACCTTTACTGTTGTAAAACCAGGACAGGAAAAATCATAAAAATAACACTTTAATATAATTGTATATAATATATACCAGATATGAAATACATATACATATATATATATATATATTTATATTAAATTAAAGCAAAAGTACATCATATTAATTATTAATGTAAGTGAATTATTAAAATAAATTGTATAGGTAGGTACATGCTCTCAAGTACATTTTTTTTTTTTTTAATTATGGAGTTCAAGAAGTACTCCGTCTATTTGGCGGTGGTGATGTTGATTCACTTTTTCTCCATCCAGGTGACCTACTCCTTGCTGAACCAGGAGTATGGCTTCTACTTTTACTTTCTGATCGAGATTTATGATCAATTGACATACTCCTTCTACTTCTATCTACTGACAAGCTTCTTTTTCGGCTTACTGACTTACTCCTTTTTCTGTTGTCAGATGTACTTCTCTTACTCCTAACTGGTGGTGACCTAGATAGAGATCTAGCAGGAGACTGAGGACTTTTAGATGGAGTTCTAGTAACTCTTCTAAGTGGAGGTGATCTAGGAGATGGAGATCTACGTATGGATGAACGGTTACGTCTATGTCTTTTTTCAGTAGGCGAACGTGACTTATGTCGACTTGCACTACGTTTTCGAGTACGTCTTTGAGATGAATTTGATTTCCTAGTGCGTTTCTTAGGTGTTCGACTTCTTCGAGGAGACCTGCTAACTCTTTTACGAAGAGGAGTTCTTGTCCTAGATCTTTTAGGAGACAATGTACGTCTAATATGACTAGACGAACGACTTTTGACTGGTTCAGATGCCTTTCCTCTACCAGACGAACTACTTCTTCTTGGTGATTTACTTGATGATCTAGGGCTTCTAGAATTACTCCTGGGAGGTGTTGCTGACCTAGATTTCTCTTTATCAGGTGTAGCAGATTTATATTTTTTCTCAACTTCTGGTACAATAGGAGGAGTATTATCTTTTTTTCTATCTTTTTCTTTTCGTTTTTCTGATTTATCTTCTTTTCGCTTAGAAGAATATTTCTTATCTTTTTTATGACTTCTAGATCTCGAGCGACGTCTTGACTTGGATTTAGATCTTGATCTTCGTCTATCTCTCGATGATTTGCGTTTTCTATCTCTAGATCTTGACTTTTTCCTGGACCGTGATCTTTTTCTATCTCTTGAACGTCGATCTCGACTTCTATATCTTTTTCTTGATCTAGAGCGTCTTTTGGAACGTGATCTTGATCGTCTCCTACGAGAACGTGAATGTCCTCTACGTGATCTAGATGTTGATCTACGACGACTTCTACCATGCGATCTAGACCGTGATCTACGGTGAGAATGACCATGTTTTTTATCTTTAGATAAGATCCCAATGACAGGATCAATAGCTGCAGAAATTAAACTTTGAGCTTCTTTAACTCGAGTCATAGCTTCTTCAATTTCTCTTTGGGCTGCTTCATTACTTTTGGCCATTGGTTTAGCAATTGCTTGTGTGGCATGTGTTACTTGAACTGGACGAGATCCAAGTTGAACTCCATTGAGTTTTAATCCAGCTATAACACTAGCTTGTTCAGAGTACTCTACAAGAGCATAACGAGTGATATCATTTTCTCTACTACACCATCTAACATACTTGACATCACCAGCTTTTTGGAAAAAACCTATAAGCTCTTCATCAGTCACATTTTCATCTACATTAATTGCGACTAAGGTACGTCTAATTTCTTCAATTCGCCTAGAATCATATGTGATTGGCAATTGTGGGTATGGTGGTAAGCCATTGGACGCCAATACCGGATCGTTCGTGACTATTACCTGATTTGGAGGAATTCCTTCAATCTGATTGACGACGTGTGCAGGCAATTTTGGATCAGAAGGATATAATCCAGGTACGATGTTTGCTTGATTGGCAATGTCTAGCGCCCTGTATTCATCCGGTATTTCGCCAACTGATGATTGATAGGGCGTGACAATCAGTGCTCGGTCAATGAACACAGTATTAGTAAGATGTTGAGCGACGGCTACGCACAGGGAGTCGAAATACTTAACGTAACATATACGAGATTGGACGGGTACGGACACGTCACGTATCTGCGGGTACAGTCTGATATCCTCGATCTTGCCAATGCAGCCGAATAATGTTTGCATTTGATCTTTGGTAGCTTGCGGTGCAATGTTCGTTACCTGTATCACCTTTGTGGTGGGTAAAGCCGAAGCTGTGTCCGTGCTGGCTGTCATTGTGACTTGCGAGTGCTTGTGCAAACAACAAGTTGTATCAAATGCTGAAAAATTGACGGCTACATGTTCTAAACACCACGAAACGGCTGCCTATTTTTGATCATATTGTCGGCAGTAATGAATGCAGAATGATCAAAAATCACAATTCACAATTTGTTTAGTATAATCGTATTTGAACGTGAGAATCAAACAGCCGAACAGCCGCGGTGTGTTAGTGGTACGCCTATGATGTCACAAGAACAGTGCGGACAACAGCAGCGAACGACACCGGAAAAAATTAAAAATTTACATTTACTAAAAAATTTTACTTAAATTTTGCAGACTAGAAACATATTTAATGTATCAAGGGCAAAATCAAACAATTTTTAGAAAACCTGAAAAGCACGACTCTGGGATACGGTTATAAATTTCAAAATCATTTTCGACATGGTTTAGAAAAAATTAGAAAATGAGCGGGAAAGTGGGGGAAATATCAATAACATCATCATCATTATAATCATCATCAACGCCATAGTCATTCATCACTGAACACACAGTTGCATGCACTGCACTAATACGCCGGTCCAGTATTCAGTAATATTATTTCTGGCTTGTCATTTTATGCTGCCGAAAGCCCTGACGCAGATTACTGAATTCGTGGAGTTACGTATAATTTTTTATTATCATTCGAGTAGACCGAGTAGAGTATACGGTTTGAGTATTTGACATTTGAGTATCTGCATTGAATATCATCTTGTCTCGACAAGTATTACTGTGTAAGTAAGTTTTGTTTATTGGTTGTCAAGCTCTTAACCTTTAATTCATTTTTCATTGTTTTTTATTCATAAAATATTGTACGTGTCGAACAGATATCAATGGCCAAAATTAAACTACTGGCATGCATAACGGTGCTGGTCTTGCAATTGGCATTTGGCGAAGAAGAAACAACAGTAAGCAATTTTTGCCAACTACAATTTAACTTTTTTATCTTATATGTCTACCCTCCTACAGAGTGATGTTAGTGTTGAATCGGTGCCTTACACTAGCCCAACTTCAGCAAAAGAAGGCGTGTACTTGACCGAACATTTTGACGATCCGTCATCATTGGGCAAAAAATGGATCAAATCTAATTCTAAGAAGCCAGATGTTGATGAGGAATTAGCTCAGTATGATGGTAAATCACTTATTATATAATATGTCAATAAATTTTATATTTCATTTTTTCATATACTTCTAGAATTTATTTTAAATATTAAATGTACTTACATACATTAATTAAAACAAGATATCACAAGACAGCTAATAAGCTACTAATAGTGGAATGAATAACACAGTTTAAAATACTAGAAAAGTTAATAAATTATTTATTTTTTATTAATTTTACCTATCAAATTAACCATATAATAAAATTTTTAATAAAACTGATAAAATTAATCAGGAAAGTAGTATTTTAAATTATACTTCATGAAATTTAAAAAAAAACTATTGAATGGGATTAATAGTAAAATTATTCAATTATGAAATAATATTCTAATATTATAAAAATTGAATAAAATATTCAACTATAGATATTTTTTTTTTTTATTGTATGTATTTTCTAATCATTGTAACTATTTATATCATTAGGTAAATGGAGTATTGATGAGTTAGAAAGATTCCCACTAAAAGGTGATAGAGGTTTAGTCTTAGCATCAGAGAGTCGTCATGCTGCTATATCATCAAAACTCGACAAACCATTCAAGTTTGATAGTGGAAAAACTTTAGTTATTCAATATGAAGTAGCATTTCAAAAACCACATACTTGTGGTGGAGCATATTTAAAGTTGCTTACTGAAGGTCCTCATATTAAGGATTTAACTCAGTTCAATGATAAAACTCCATATTCAATTATGTTTGGTCCAGATAAATGTGGTCCAACTTCCAAAGTGCATTTTATAATTAGACATAAAAATCCTAGGAACAATACAATTACTGAAAAACACTGTTTAAAATTAAAAACAGAAGAGTCTGTGTTTACTGACCATCAACCTCATTTGTTTACCTTAGTTGTTAAACCAGACAACTCGTATTCATTCTTTTTAGACCAAGAAGTAAGTTATTATAAAAATTGTATTATTGAGTTTAATTTATATATTTTTTTTAGTTGCAATATGAAGGCGATTTATTATCAGAAGATGATTTTAATCCACCAATTATTCCACCAAAAGAGATAGTTGATACAAATGATGTAAAACCTGAAGATTGGGATGAAAGAAGTAAAATTCCTGATGAAAGTGCTGTTAAACCAGATGATTGGGATGAAAGTGAACCTGAAAGTATTCCTGATGAATCCTCTTCTATGCCAGATGATTGGTTGGAAGAAGAACCCACTCATATACCTGATACTGCTGCAGTTAAACCTACTGATTGGTAAACATCAGTTCATATTTTGTCTAGTGACTAAATTTATTTTAAAATAGTACTTGGTCAAATAAAGTAACTTTATATTAATATAGTAATATTGACTTTTTTATAAATTTAATTTAAAGGGATAATGATATGGATGGAGAATGGGAACCACCTTTAATTAATAATCCAAAATGTGAAGATCGTTCTGGATGTGGACCTTGGTCGAGACCATTAATGAAAAATCCCAAATACAAAGGCAAATGGAAACAACCATTAATAGACAATCCAAACTATCGTGGAAAATGGACTCCTCGACTCATACATAATCCCGATTACTTTTATGATAAAAATCCACTTAAATCTTCACCTATTGTAAGTATTTATTTCATGTATTAATAATTTGTTAAATTAACTCAAATTGAGTTATATTATATGAGATTCATATTATTTAAAACCATTCTTCAAAAAAAATTTTTAGTAGGCTTAGAATGATTTATTTTACTGATTATTTTTATTTTATAAACTTTCTATACTTATTTTTTTGATTTTGTATAATTTTAAATTATTTTTTTTCAAGTCGAAATATACAATCTATATCAGATGACATAATAAGTATATATGATAAAAGGGACAAATAACATGAGTATACAAAAAATAAAAGTTGAATAAAGAAGTCACCTAAAAGTTGTGAAATTAGTATCTATTTACTTGTTTTTATATTTTTTTTTAGATTACAATGTGTAAAAGGTCTCTGCACCATTTACGTTTTAAGCATCTAGAAGGGCAACCGGGGATTTACAATATATAAAAAAAATATATATACATTTTTTTGATTATTTCATTATTAAAAGAAATATTAATTCTAATAAATTGAATAAAAATACAATTTATAACTTAAATTAATTAAAATTGTGTAATATGTTAAAAACTCATTGTACATGTTATGTTGATAAGTGTATTGTTATAGGGTGCTGTTGGTTTTGAATTGTGGTCTATTTCGGACAAAATTTATTTTGATAATATCATAATAGCAGATGATGAAGTTCATGCTGAAAAATGGTCAGAATTAACATGGTTACTAAAAAAGAAGAATTTATCACACGAATCGGTAATATTTTATCTTTTTTTATAGCTTAAGAAATTTTAATTTAAGATCTTTAATACGGAAATAAAATTATAGTAATAGTTTTCAAACAAAAATATCTACATATATATTATAGGGCACTTTTTGGGGCAGAGCTCTCAAGAATATGAATTATAAGCCTGGATTATGGTTATGTTATATAATTTATTGTTCTATACCTGTGATTATTTATTTATCATATTTAACACAAAGATATTTAAAGGTAGCTAGTTACTAAATAAGTAACTAATTAATAGCTGATTGTACCTTATTATATTTATACTTACAAATTTTTTTTATTGATGTACCTGTATTTATTTAATACCCATTGTTGTTATAATTATTTTATTTTATTTTATTTTAACAAATTTATATTTTCTTAATTAGGAGAGTGTATTTGGAGCTGTAATTAGATATACCAACGAAAATCCTTGGTTGTGGGCTGTATATGTAGTAGTTATTGCTGTGACTGTTGTATTAATAGTTATTACCTGCTGCACTTCATCAAAAGTAATTTTTCTTTCACTATAAAAATTACTTTTTTTCAGTTCCCTTCAATTCACTTAAAATTATTTTGTTCATATTAACATAGGAAAAATCTGCAAATGAATCGAATAAAAAAACTGATGAACCTGTACCTGATGTAGAACCAGAAGCATCTGATGAAGAACAAGAAACAGATATAAAAGAAGATGAAGACGTTGATAATAAAAGTGCTGATGATGAAGAAAATGTATGTGCTATTAAAAATTAAATAATATAAATGAAATTGTTATAAGTTATTATTATTGATAACTGATGAAATAATTTGATTATATATTATGAATATGTATTTATAAAGGTTGATGTGGAGGCTGATCAAACTAATGAAGATCAAGTACCATCCTCTCCAAGGAAGCGCAGAACAAGAAAAGACTGAATCTGCTTATCACTTATCTTCTCTCCCTTGTAGCGTCATTTTGTTTGTATTCCTACAATTGTGTATTTTGTTTTATTTATTTATTTTTTTTTTTTTTTTAAACATATTAGTCATGATAATGTTAAAACCAAATAAAAAAAGGTTACACTCAAATATTTATATTACAGGTTTCTGTAATAATTTTGTACTAGTGTTAAAAACTTGAATTATTATATTTTGAAACACTTTTGATAGACTTGTGCATTAATTATGTGTATTGCTTTCATGTTCAATTATAATTTGTTTTATACGATATATATATACATATTATATAAAGAAAATTAATGTGTCTGATTTTAAAATATTATCTCAAATGTGTTAAATAAATTGGTTTGATTGAATAATTGTTATTATTGGAAAAACAAATTTCATTGTTATTGAATAATAGCTTGTTGACCTACTTCTTATCACATTTAATTGCGCTACTTAATATTTGTAATGATAATCATTTATTATTTTCATATAATTGAAATCATGAAATGTGAATAACGGTTAAAAATACTGATTTAATATTAATATATTTGACTTTGATGTATTTTAAATGAGAATAAATTTTTCATAGTTATTTAAGGATTATAATGCTTATTTTTATAATTAGTTAATCCACCAAGATGGCTAAAGTAAAGATGGTGTTCTGACTTCTAATTAAGCTAATTTAGGTTTAAAAATATACAAATTATAACATGTAAAATAAATAAAAAAATACTCAAAACAGATACTGTTACTTTTAGGTGGTTTCTTCCCTCAAAAGTCTTGTGTGTAACTCTTCTTAAATTTGCTTATCCTGGGAAGATATATAACTATTCTGTTAATTTTATATTTCTAAATAAGTGTTTGTGTTGAACAATTTATAAAAAAAAATTAAAACTTAGTCAAAATGTTAACAAATATCATCAAATTTATGGATATTATATAGTAAAAGTTTATAAAATGATGATATGATATATGAATGAATAGTATGGAATTGAGGGACTTTAAAGTTTAAAGTATATATTAATGATTATTTTTTAAACAGTTATTTGGTCTTATAAACATATATGTAAGAGACAGTAATAACTTAAATATGTTAACAAGTTAAAGTCTATTTTTTTTGTTGATATTTATGCATTAATTATAAGTAGACACAATCATAACTTAAAAGTATTTCTTATTCTCCACTATGAGTTATCTAATAATTAGAGACTGGTGTAATTGTTTTAGCTAAATAATTATATATTTTGTATAGTAAAAAATAAGAAAATACTAAACACAGACAAAGTTACATAGAATTCAGTAACAATGTAATAGTAAAATTAATTCTTTTCTAAATACATTGGAAATCACCATTTTGTTCAGATTATTAATATTCATACTTAAAAAAAAAAAAAAATTAATATCTACCTAATCCTCTCAAACAATATATTAGTATTATAACCAAAGATTGACCTAGACTCTCCATATCCATGCTAAGTGAATGGCTCTTAACAATCGATCCCGTCTGCAATGACTTCTATACACATCATTACATCAATCTGAATAATAAAATATTTCTTAATAAATTTCTATCAAAATAATTTGGTCATATGGTAAACAACTTTCAAAATTCAATCAAGTCATCAATTATAAAAAAAAAATCCAAATGTCTCTAAAAAATAACTAAATTTCCTTTCCGTTTGATATAACTATATACCTACTACATAATTATTTCTTCATTCTATAAGTTCAAAATAATGCCAAACCTTTCTATAAACATATTCAATTACTGTAATTCTTAAATCTTAAGTTTATCTGCTTTTAATATCACCAGTGACCCTAGAAGATGTGTTTAGACTGGAAACATTGCAAGACTTTCTAAATGACTAAAAATCATTGTTTGTTTCTGTGAAGTTGCTTCCTTTAATTATATAGCCATATATTCATCTTTTATATTTACTGTAAAAAATGTATTTACAAATTGTATAATAAATATTTGAAAAAGAAAACATTTGTAAAATTAAAGAATTAGAATTCTAGAATTTTTAAATAAATATTTATTCCCATAAAACAGTTTTAATTAATTAGATAAAAGAATAAATATTGTTTTAATAAGGAGACCTAATAATTTTTTATACTGCTAATAACCATTAAGGATTTATTAAGGACAAATAATAAAAAAAAAATCATAAGTCAATAAAATACAAATACATTTACTGTTTATTTTACTTAATTTAAAACATATTTTTAAGATTTGATTAAGTATAGATGATAAGTCAGTGACATTTAAAAAAAATCTGAATAAGAGGTGTAATTGTTTTATTCTTTTTATATTAATTATCCAAAAATTGTTTGAAAGGTTGTTCCAGTATAACCAACATTGGATGAACTTTGGTCCGAAAATGTTATGTATAATCTATAAACAATAATTAATAATTACATTACCAAAATAACTTATGAATAAAGCAAACATACCTGTCATCTGGAATGCCTAGTTCTTTTTTTAAAAGAGGATACAATACAGCAGCATGTTTCTTGTTCTGTTCAACACCTAGGCAACCAATACTCATTAACGTAGCTGTACCACAGGGCTTATCATCTCCGCCCCATGTCATAAGTTGGTCTGGCACAACAGTCACAACTACATACTAAAACAGGTGACAAAAAACTACACTAGTAAAAAAAAAAAATGAATAATAAAAATTAAATTAGTATTTACTGATTCTGGTTTTCCAAGGGTTTTAGCCACAGCTGCTGAAAGCTTTTTCAATAACTCTGGTGTTATTTTAGACTTGGACACATTTGTTTCTAAACGAAAATGAGGCATGTTGCAAAATTGAAAAAAAATTCTCTAAAATATTTAAAAAACAATAAATGACTGAGCCACATCAATTAGTATATACTGATTTTACTTTTACTAGCTTACCTGATTTGTTAAACTGTCTAAGCGCTTAGCTAATTAATACACTACTAGCAGTTAGCACAGTAAATAGTAATCGCGATGAACCTTTAATAATTATTATAATTAGTGTGAAGACTGTGAAGAATGACTGAAAATTGAAGCAATTGAATACATTTTGTGATATTGATAATAAGAGTTACCAACCAGTATTAGCTGGGTAGTGGGTGGGTAGTTTAATTTTGATAGTTTGATCTTTCGTTATCAAAGTCGCCGGGACTCGTTACCCGATTAAATATAAATAACGCTATTTAATATTTATTACTTTATATTTTAATCTATAGTCTATAGTGTCTATACTCTATACCATACTCATACACATACTCCGTAGATGTTAAATTGTGGACAAACAGAATAAATATGATGCAATAGCTAATAGGTATAATATTATTACTTGCAGTAATATAATCTTTAATTATTAATACAACACAATATACCAATGATGTATGTGATATGTAATATGTATCAATGAATCTTTAAGTTATATTTCTATATAGTCAAAATATGTTGTGAACCTAATCTCAGTAAAAACTAGGGCTATTAAATCCTGAGGATCAATTATTATTCTAATTTTTTTATCTTTTGATCCTATGTTATCTTATATTCCGTAAATTAAATAATATCATAAACTCTGTGTTCAACATAATCAAACGTCTTAGAATTCTTCCTCTACATCGTGGTGTATAAGTAGTAAATAATAATAATAATATAAAATAATATCACATGGGCTTATAATCTGACGATCAAAAATAACAAAATATCCAAATTAAGCATGAATCAAAATATAAATAAACTATATTATGTCTATATACAAATAGAAATTTTTTTTTTTATTTTAACAAGAAATATACAATCTGTAACCTTGGCACAATAAGAATATGTGATATGATATTTTGTACATGAAAACGTTAGGGAAGAAGCCATCCAGTAAAATCACTACTTACCTATTAGTTTATTATTAATTAATTGATTAATTAATTTTTTTTTTTTATAAATTATAATTCATTTGTTTAATAAATCTCGACATCAACTTATTTTCAGTCGTCGTGAGGGATTGCCTGGAATTGTGCGAGAAGCTAAATTGGATATAGGGAAATTAGAATGATATGGAAGTCTGTTATGGAATCTTCTGTAAAATTTTACTGCTTCAGCGTGAACTGTTTTAATATTTAAATCTGTGTGCAGAGTGCAGTTGGAGACATATGGTGAGGTGTTAATGATTAATCTTAAAATTTTATTTTGAACGGTTTAGATTTTATTTACATTAGTTTTTTTTATTTTGCCCCATAGTTGTAGGCCATAAGTCTATGTTGGCTTGATTAATGATTTATATATGAGAAGTTTTGTTTAGTTTGGTGTGTTTGTCAGATAGGTATTATAGTGTTTTAATTGAGCATAGTCGTTCATTTAGGGCGAGTTTTTTGGTTCTGATATGGAGTCTCCAGGTAAGACGACAGTCAAAGGTTAGGTCTAAGTATTTAACCAACTGGGATGATGAGATAAGTATGTTACCAAGGGAGACCTCTGGACAAGGGGCGAGACAAAAAACAAATAGAAAATGAAAAGTAAATTTAATTTTTTACGGGAGTAAGACGGGGTATTTGCCCTCTCTAAAATTTTAAATTTATTGCCTAATGGTAATAATGTAATGTGATAATGATGAAACATAATAATCTTCTGTAAATAAAATGTATAAAAAAATCTTCATATATAGCTATCATCGAGGACCAGGCCCTAAAATTGTGTGCACTACGATACACTTTGTGTAGTACAAAAAATGAAACGTGTACTACAAAATTCAAAAATGTGTAGCAAATAATAATGTTTATTTTTTCTATATTATAAATTTTCTTTTTAAATCACTCAATATAAACGTTTAATTAAAATTAGTGTGTAGCACGAAAAAATAGAAAATTTTAGGCTCTGTCGAGGACTATGTGGTGGCATACACACAGCTATTATGAAAAAAGTTAAACAAGAACTAAACAGATCTGGTCAAAAATTTGCAAAAGTAGTATGTGTAGGCAAAAATTAGAAAAACTGTTTGCTCAATCGCATAAATCTAACACTTTATTTACAGTTTTCAAAATAGGGAAAGACAATACTACATTTCTAGAAGCTTCAAAAATGTTTGTTGAATGTAATTACGCCAAATGTATTGCTTGTCAAATATTTTACTACTAAATTGTTACTGAATGTACACCACAAATTGATTGGATTTACATTTATTACACAGATTTCCTTTTAACGGTAACTCATATTGGCATATTGCTAGTTTAGAAGAAGTAGAAGAAGAAAATATGAGAAGTTATATTGAATTTTCTACTGTTTCACTTTTGTTATTTTGCCGTGGTAGAAAACACCTTGTGTAATATCTATACCCTACTGCACGTGATACTAATAATAGTAGTAGCTATCTATATAGGTATTTCAATATGTCAAGGTATCTAAAAATATAAAATAATAAAATATACTTGTTATAATAAAGGTTGATGTCTCCCTAATATCAAAATCGTTTGTTTTTTTTTAATGTTATAATTTTTCATTGAATACAATTTTAACTCAACATTACTGTGACTTTATTAATGAGGCACTATAAACAACTATCAACTATGTACCTACAACTGTATAGACGTATAGTAGAATGGCTTCCTACTTTTCACGTTTTTTTTTTAATATTTTGAAACTCAATTTTAAAGTAAAATTTATTTTGCCAATTTTGATTTTTTTAATTTTAGTACATTTAACTAAAAAAATGCATACATATTCCGATACTATAAGAAAAATTTGATATCATTCAGTATTCATTTAAATAATAAACAAGATTGAGATGATAAGAAAATAACTACACTGGATTCTTATTTCTTATCTATCCCAGTGGTAAATATTAAAAAACAAACATTATTTTCATTATAAGAAAAATAATAGTTATGTATTTTATAATATGTCCATATTTTCTATTGTTCATGTTTCTATAATACACTACGGTCTTACAGTAATTTAAATTATCTTATCTCAACTTATTATCAGTATTAAAGTAGTCGTTATTTTGTCATTTTGTTATCATTAAAAATAAATTTAAAACTTACATCTTAGAAAAATTAATCGTGGATCATGGATCAGTCTCGTAAACTTAAAGTGTTAGTTTTATAACTGAACAGGTCAGAGTGTTGGACACCTCAATCACAGAATAATTCAAAAATGTCATGACATGCTGAGCAAGAATACAACAGTGAACAGATTTAATATTTGTAAAAATTACAAAATTTCTATACATAATTATTTAAAAAATATATTTTAATTTTTCAATACATGTTACATGTTTAAAAAAACTTTAATATTGAAGTTTTAAAGATGCTAGAAAATTTTGTTTTGTTTTAATGTCTCAAAAGTATCTTCATTAATTATTTTGTGTTTGTATTTTAATTAAATTTACAAGTTAACTTTAAGTATGGATCAAACTGAACAAAATGAGCGTTTTGAATCAATAAGATATCAATTGGATGCACTTGGCTATCGACAATATATGCCACTTGATTCTATTGATCTTGTTAGTCAGCTTATAAAAGACTTATTGCATACAACCGACAGTTTGAAACAGTACAAAAATATAGCTCAAAATACACTTGAAGTTGCCCGAAATTTAGAAGCAAAATCTGCCCCGTACTTACGAGATAATTGTTCTCTTATCCAAGAGCATAATGAATTGCAATCAAAATTAAAGAAAGAACTTGAAAATGTTAAAAGTAAATACCATATTATTTTTAGTTAAATTTTATTTGAAAATTATATTAATGCAACATCTATATAACATTTATTGTCTTTTTCATTCACTCATTTATAATATTTCTGTAATAGTTATTTTAAATATTAGTACTTAAATTTATAATTTATTTTTTAATAAAACTAAACTATTATATAAAAATAAAAATGGATGGTAGAATAGGTGCTAGAATATATAATATTTCCTTACTTTTAACCATAGAGATTCAATACAATTTGTAAATAGATGTTCTACTATAGCTTATATAAAATAACATAAATAATAAAATTTGTTATACTTACACTCTTAAGTTTTTAAACCTAATTAATTTTTTTATTTTAAGTACTTGAAAATAAAATTGAGATCTTGGAATGTGAAAAAAAAGAATGTAAACAAGAAAATGAAAAACTTATTAAAAAAGTCTTACATTTAGAAGATGAAGCAATTATAAAAAACGCAAAACTTTTAGAATTGGGAAATCTTTTTTTGGTACCACAACTTGAAACTAAAAGTATGTATTCTATTATTATTTGTAGCTAAAAATTATTTTTTTATTGCATTGTATTTAACTAATAATATTTATTAAAATTTCAGGTAAAGATTTCAAGTCTCTCAGGCCTTTAATACAAATTGATAATTCAGATAGTTATAAAAATGGAGAAGAAAATAAAGAATATATTCATAAAGAAAATGATATTTTAAAAAAAAAAGTAAAAGAATTGTATAGGGAAACTGAACATTTAAAAAAAAATATCAAGGATACAAAAGTTCAGGTAAAATTAATTATGTTAATAACACAATTAAACATTATAAATATATAATATGTATTATGTATATGTATTAGTCCAGTAAATATTCACTTAAACAACAAAATCAAATGATAAAAGATGATACGGATACTTTTATTGATTTAAGAGCTGATAATGAAGTACTTCGAAGACAATTGGATGGTAATAAATTAAAATTAATATAATTTGTGTCCAAGTAACTTTGAATAAAGAAAGTTCAGTTTGTGCCTTAGTGAAATTCCAAATTATAAAATATATTTTCAATAGTTTTATCTTTTGATTTAAAATAGTTCACAATAGGTTACAATTTTTTGACTATAGCATTATATGTCATATTATAGAATATAAATTTTGAATAATGAATACAAATAAATTATTTATTTTTTTTCAATTAATTTAAAATCTTTAAAAATATCATTTTCTATTTTATTTATAGGTTTATTATTTAATCATTGTTTTGGTTAAACTAATCCATCCTAAAAAAAGATCAACTATGTATTGATCATATTAAAATGCAATATTTTGACAATCTAGTTTGGCCCTCTGTGGTCTACACATCAAC